CACGGCTCATCTGTGTTTTGTGTGAATGAGATGTTTCCACATTTATAAACAAGTTAGCTGCCACACACTGCCAGCCTGGTTAGTCCATCTGCAAGCTCTATAACATGACATACAATGTTAGTAAAAGACAGCCATAAATATTAGTTAAAGCCAGAGCCTCGTCAGTAAGACAGCAGGGAGCACCGCAGCGGAGCGTCTCACTCTCGCGGTGAGCCACGCCGCTGCCGCCAACAGCCGGCTGTTGGCGCGAGCAGGTGAGGTTGGCACATGGGATAGTACCATAACATTAATTTGATCTTATAATTAATTAAAGGCAAGCCAATGGTTAGTAAGATTAGTTTTGTTATGCACTCTCCCTTCTACTCCCCATCTACCTACATGAAATGTATAACATTAAAAACTGATTTTAATCATTCGCGTCCCACCCATTATAACTAAACGTCAAGCAGTGAGTACATAATGTAACTCATTCATAAATATCGCGTCAAGACATACCTAGACACATAGAAAGACACGGGTCTTTCTATTTTAAATAAAAACCATTTCATGTAGTTAGATCGCCCTACTGGGCGAATTCGATCTTCTAGCTACAATTAGTTAGCAAATAAATAATATGAATATGAATGAATTCTAAGCCAAAGCAGCGCAAGCATTTTAAAGCAGCAAGCAATTGCAAAGCAGCTACTGAAATGAATCCAAAATTTGATAGATTTGCCCGGGTAAGCCGATATTGTATATGATGAGTGTTTACGTGTGCAGTAATGTAAGAGAAGATGGGAAAGCAAAGTGAAATGGAATATGAAAAATATCACCAACCTTTCATCTTTAATAAACAAGAGCAGTTGTGCCCAATTCCGAAAGCAACTTAAAGAGAAGTGGAATTAAAACCTCATCTTGGAGAAAATTAAACCACGAATAGTTAATGGATCTTAACTCGATTTCAAAACGCTAACTTTGTCGAAAGCGACTCGTTGCCTTCAATAAGATTCAGGCAAGTTTGGGAAAATTTGCTTCCTTTTAAAATGGTCCACCATTTAACCGATGGACACAGACAAATTAGATCTAGACACCACAGTGATTAGTAGATAGTGAACCGACTGGCTACAAGACTATTCCCACCTCTCGTTCCCACCGCTGCAACTCCTGTGTAGCTAGGTTCTACAGCTTGAACGCCAGTAAAAACCCAACCAGTGAAGGTCAAGTTTGTACCGGGGAAAGTTAAACTGTCATTGGACTCGCAACGAAATCTGAGTGCCGGACAGACCGGCTAGATAAGGGCGCAGTGAAACAGTCAAGAGAAAAAACGGTTGTATGATGATGTTTACATTTCCCGCCTGGTGGTGGCAGCAGGATGAAAGCAGGCTTACCCTGGTTTTAAGTGGGTTCAAGCCCCGTTCCCATTCCCCGTTCAGCCCTGACCTTATTGTCTATTACAACTTATTAGCATTTGTAATAGCGGAACTTAACTCTAATAATGCTTTGCTCTATTGTTTTGCTGTCTACGTACCGGCTGTAAATCGTGTTTCTAGCTGCATTATTCCATTCCGTGCCGACGGTCAAAGAGGCAACATCGTTTTTTCCTCTCTCGTAATATTTTAATTGTAATTCTGGTTTAACACAGTATTTTTGATCCGGACAATGCTCAGTTCTCAAAACCGATATATAAGCTACGCAACAGTGTAATCATCATACCTGAAAACTTACAATATTGTGAGTATTAAGCCAATATTTGATTGCGAATTTTACCTACGGCGAACGTTACACGGCGCGCGGCGAGCGGCGAGCAGCGAGCATCGGCGTAAACATCTGACGTCACTGCGTATAGTGATTCATACCGGTTTCGCCGCACCGAGCCAGCCGACACTACGCTTACTAGCTGCGTTGCTCCGGTTTGTTTACCTCTCAGCTTGATTTCGCTTGATTTCGTTGGCGTATGGGATGGCTTCTAACACTAATAAGTGCTCAGGCTGCAATGCTACAATAAATGGCAAGGACTATCTTAATTGCCCATCTTGTAAACAAAAATACGACTTGCAATGTGCTAGTATTACATCCCAGCGGTTTAGAACTATGTCACAGGACGCCAAGCGAACTTGGAAATGTCCAGAATGTGTCAGCAGACTACCAAAGTCGGATAACACAAATACGCCTTTGCGGGCGCTGTCGTCGTCTGGCACGGCCGGGGGTGGGGCGGACGGAAGTGACACGGACGACCAAATAAGCAATGTTACCCTGCGCAATAAATCCAAAACATCAGGGATTCAGACCAGCGATGGTGACCTACATGCACAAAAATATGTTACGGAGGCAACCTTAAGAGCCGTGATAAGACAGGAGCTCGCAAGTACTCTTAAGGCATCCATCAGCGAACATCTCGCTGATGAGATCAGCGGTGTCAAGTTGCAGTTGATTGAATTTCAGAACTCTTTAACGTTTTTCAACAAAACGTTCGAGGACTTAAGAAAGGAAAATAGTGATCTTAGGAAAGCTCAAAGCAACATCCTTACTGAACTGAAGGTCGTAAAGAGTGAAAATTCTAGCCTCAAAAAGGACTTGGCGTCCTGTACTTCCCGCATCAAACATCTGGAAGAGGAATGTTCCCGGCAACAGCAATGGACGCGACTTCAGAATATAGAATTGGTTGGTATACCGGAAAATAAATTGGAGAACACCACTGATGTAGCCACGAAAATATTCAAGCATATTGGTGTCAACATTACCCCTGATGACATGGAGTTCGCTCATCGTGTTCAACCTAGGCGTCCCGCGAGTGCTGGGCGTGGACGCGCTATTATAGTCAGACTAAAACAACGTGCAATTAAAGACCAAATAATAGCTGCCGCTCGCAAGCGACGCACTATCGTGGCCAAGGATGTTGAGCTCGGGAAGGATACTGACCTAATTTATGTAAATGAACACCTTACTAGAGAGAATAAGGGTCTCCTCGCAGCATGCAAGCTAAAAGCCAAAGAATCAGGCTTCAAGTATATCTGGACAAAAAACTGCAGGATATTCGCTCGAAGAAGCGATTCAACCCCACCGATAGTGATATCTTCGACTGCAGATTTAGAGAAAATCGCCTAGCTGGACCTTTGATCATTTTTAATTTTATTTATAATTTTTTGTCGTTTACTATTAACCTATGTAACTTTTCATTTAATCTTGCATGCAGCGCACTCACACTCATACCACACACTCCAACACAAAATTCACACCTTTTCACCATAAATGTTAAGTATATTTACTGCACATCCTCAGTTTCCTATGTAATTTTATTATTACGAATTCACACTAAGATGCAATTTAGTTTACTCAGTTCAATTTCTACATATTTCTGTTTACAAGTACTATTACTTTTACCAAAATAAAAATGGCTAGTACACATATAAATTTTCGCAACAAACTTCAGTTGTTTTACCAAAATGTACGAGGTTTACGTACTAAAACTAACACTTTTTATAATAATATGCTGCTTTCTGACTGCGATATAGGCCTTTTTACAGAGACTTGGTTGTGTGAAGGTGTCCTGGATAGCAAAATTTGTGGCACTAAATATAATGTCTTCCGGCGCGATCGTGGTTCTTTGGGTGGTGGAGTAATGGTGTTATGTTCTCAAAAGTTGGAGGCTCGTCCTCGGCCAGAGTGGCAAAGACCCTTGCTCGAATGCATCTGGGTGACAATTTCAGCAAAGTCACTTAATTCCACAAACGATCTGCACATAGCTGTTGTATACATTCCACCGAATTCTAAAATTCCTTTATGTCTTCAGCAGCTTGCCGAGATGGTGAAACATATTTCCTCCATTAACTGTGATGACCATATAATTATAGCAGGTGACTTCAACTTACCTTGTATTGACTGGAGCACAGAAGAACCGATAATACTGAAAAAAGGGTCTTCCGACCTTCAGTCTGCGGCATCGGATTTCATTGAATTGTCTTCCTATATAGGGCTTACTCAATACAACTTCATTAAAAACCACCATGATGGCATTTTGGATCTCATATTCTCGAATATCACTCTGGAAACTAGTAGATCGAACACTCCTACGGTTACTGAAGACAAATATCACCCTTCATTAGAAATATGTGCCACTGATTTATTTATTCCTCCTGTGAGACCGCAATCGCGATTAAAATATCAATATACGCGAGCTGACTACACACAAATTAATCAACATCTTTTAAACGAAGACTGGTCTTTTATACTGGACTTATCTGATATAGATGATATAATTGCTAAATTTTACCGCATCTTATATAGAGTAATTGACGAGCACGTTCCAAAATCTCATATCTCTAGCTCCCGCACTTATCCAGCTTGGTACAATAAGAGCCTTATTAATCTAATTAAAGAAAAATCAAGACATCATCGTAATTGGAAACTTCATAATAATCCGGTAGATTACCAACTTTTTTCTAATTTAAGAGCCTCTGTGAAGGCACTGCAGAAAACTTGCTATGATCTACACATAAAACAGTCACAAAATAATATAAAAACTAATCCTAAATTATTTTGGTCTTATGTAAAATCCCGCAGGAATGGGCACTCGGATTATCCCAGTGTTATGAATTATGATAATAAGACTTTGGACAGTCACTTAGATATTTGTAACGCGTTTAATGACTTTTTTCTTAAAAACTTTAGAGAACCGGCATCCGTCTATCCCAGTTGTAACTTATCAGATAATATATCCCAGGACGTGATTCATACTGTTGAGGTCACCGCTATGTATGTGTTAAATCTATTAAAAAAACTAGACGTCACAAAAGGGGCCGGCTCTGATAATATACCGCCATTATTCTTCTCACGATGTTCCAAGTCTCTGGCTGAACCTGTTGCAGGTATTTTTAATAGATGCCTTACTGGAGGCTACTTTCCAAACGTGTGGAAAACTGCACACGTAGTTCCCATACACAAAAAAGGCACTAAAACATCTGTTTTGAATAGTGTCCGACCGAATATGAATTTTCAGCCGAAAACGGAAACGAAAACGAAGCTTCGGCTGCAGTCTCATTTTCGGCCGAAAACGAAAATGACCTTCAACTCTCAAATTTCAATCTGAAATTATGTAAAATCTTTGAAAACCGTTAATGTTTGGACCAAAAGCATAATGACATTTGACAGTTGATTTTGATAAGGATTGATTAAAAAAAAACCGGCATTAAAACACAAAAAAATTGATTATGAATTCTTAGTAGAATATTATTTCCGGTGTATATTTAAATATTGGGAAGTGAAGAAGAAATAAAGGGTGTCCAGTGGGAATTNGTTTCTCTTGTGCCAATTCGTTTAGGCATAGACACGGTTCCAGAACATTTAACAGTTACGATTACGTATAGTACGGACATTAACTGGGTAACTCCGTCATCTCACATCATAAATAACGTAGCAACACGTCCGGATTTTAAAGGATAGTTTGAGACTGTCCTTAATTATACGTTACCTAATATTAATATTATCATAGGTATACATAGTTTAGCTGCCTTAGCATCTAACATTGTAACATTCATTTTATATAATGTAAACAAAGGCAAGGCAGAGTTATTTTGAATACCATGCTAGACGTAACAGTTAGTGCATTTTTTCTAACCATGTTTTTTCTATTAACTTAACTTTGAACCGAAAGCCATTACTATAAGGTCTATGCTATTACTACATATGGTTCATATCACACCCTTAAATCTGCATGTACTGTCCTGTATGGAAACCATGTAATAAACACACATACACACACACAACCTGCATGCAAGCCTATGTTTCTTTTTTTTGCCCCTTTGACTGTTTTTTTTTACGAGATTGTAATAATATATAGAATCCATTATTGGCTGTAAGAACAAAAATACCTGTTTGTATTATTATTATAAAGAGCTGTGGTTTTCTGAATAAAGAAAAATAAAATAAAATAAATAAAATAAATAATTACATTTGTACACAGCTCGTCTGGGCCTTCAGAATTCGTATTATTCAAAGACAGTATTTGTAATCTCACTTCATCCTCTGTCATCGGCAAAAGAAACATAGAATGACCTAGACAACAACAACAAATTCGTTAGTACACAAGATCGCGTGGAAACAACTTCATGTAAGTGATTCCATACTTTTGCTCGCGAGTGTATTATTACTGTCCTTGAAACAAAATGTACAAACAACAACACTGTTAACTGACCATTCAAGACGCAAACGCAAAGCTTAGTGCGAGAAAGGGATAAAATAAAGTTTTATAATAATTATTATGAAACAAGTAACAGCAACACACTTAATTTTATCGTTTTCAAAATGTATGTTTTTTGTAGCGACGTTGCCGTGTTTCACGTTGGAAGAGCGGCAACAACTCAAAGGATGTCAAAACTCAAAATCATAAACGTGCCATAAAGCAAGTTATTATGTCAAACTAAAGACACACACACAACGACATTATAATAATACAGGGTGGCCCAGAAGAAAATTCACTTTTGAAAATTCAAGGAAACGACAACTGTAAATTTTTGTAGAACTTTAACTATTGCAATTTAAAGGAAATTTAGTGCAATTTATTTTAAAATTTACTTTCTTTTATAAATTTTATCGTACCTACATTTGATTCCCTTGACGTTTACAACACTCGGTCAACATACATAAAAAATTTGGAAAGCTTTCGTTAGAGTTACCTCGAAATGGATTCAGGATGGATGAATGCTGCAGAGTTTTTGGATTATTAGAGTATACTCTGCTCATTGGACCTCGCGTCTACGTATTGCCATCTGGCGGATTTTTCAATCGCGAAAACCCTCATTGAATGGTATGCGATCGTCGAATACTAAATAAATCTTTGAAAGTAGAAACCTGTAATTAGAGGTCGGCGAGATATACATTTTAGAAAAAAATGGGCTTACTGAAATTTTTTCGACTTTTTAAGGACTTTTTTTTTATTCTATAAAAGGTTCGGTTTCGGTTTCGGCCGAAATTACAATGAAACCAAACCTTCGGTTTCGGCAAAATAACATGTTTCGGTCGGTCACTAATGGAAACGTTTTGGATCTGCTATCGACTAAGACGTAATTTTAGACGCAAATTGAGGAGGCAATAAAACTTTGTTTCAAACATCTTCATTTCTCACTATAGAAAGGCGATTGAGTTCGATAGGCTTCGACAAGAGGACGCCGAGTCTTGGGAAATGTTATTCGAGAATTAGAGAAGCATCTATAGATTTTTTTTTCGAAGTTAATTTAAATCAATTTGTATTTGCATGGTTCACACGGATCAGACATTTTTGCAGTTCACGATAACGGGTTCCACCCAAGGATCTGGATGAGAGGGCGACCACCGTCGACATCATCGCTGGCCCCGGAGATAGCTCGATTAAGAGAGGACTGTGTTGCAGCCAGGCGACGATATTCTCGGCACCGCCGAAGACGGCACAGGGATGAGTCGACGGACGCTCCACTATACGAGGAGTACCAACGAGCGAAGAAGGAGCTCCGGAATGCGATAGGGGCAGCTAAAAACGGATATTTCTGTACGAATGCGTTTAGTTTTTGCAAAATCGGCATATAAACATAGAAAAATTGTATTATTTGCAAAAAGTACGTAGAAAAAATTTGAAGCTACTGCACTTTATACTCATACAAGTATGTATAGTTATTTATATTTTTTTCTATTGACCTAAAAAGAAAAGAATAATTTGTAAATAAATAAATGATTATTTAAATTTAAGTATGGTTATTTATTAAATATTTTTAAGAAAGCCTATGAGGACTTATTTAACAAACCCATCATAATAGTGTATTGGACATTTTGGGAATTGGACGTTTCGGGAACTGGACATTCCAGGAATTGGACATTTCGGGAATTGGACATTTTGAAAATTGGACATTTTGGGAATTGGACATTTTGGGAATTGGACATTCCGGGAATTGGACGTTTTGAAACCGTTGGACATTTTGGGAATTGGACATTCTGAACCTGAAGGAATAGTTGCAATAGATATTTAAAAATACAATAAAAAGTAAAAAAGTCTCCATCGCCATCGCCAACAAGTGATGTGCATGCGTTACGATAATTAGTGATGTGTTTAACAGATTGTCGATAAAATAAAATACACAAGATTAAAAAAAAATTTTTTCGGGCATTATTTTTTTACGGATTTGTGTTCAGTATCAGTAATATAGTAACCTCTGTAAATATGGCAAGAATGCAAAGTAACACCCTGTATAAGACTGTTCAACTTCGATTACTAAGACTGTTAGCGTTAGTTCAGTAACTATAATTATTATTATTTTAAATACTATAGTCAAACTTACTGTACTGTAAGCAAAGTTGATAAGACTGTTGTAAACAATAAATGACAAAGATTAAATCTATAAGTAGTTGATCCTAATAAAGAAATTGTTGATCTCAGTAAGTATGTCAAAAACACTGTTTTTATTTTTAATTAGATATAAAAAATAAAAAGTATAAGTATAGATTTGTTACTATATTATACTTGTTGATTTGTTATCATAACCTATGTTATGCACCTTACATAATAAAAAAAGGTTCGCTAAAATGATTACCAAAGCTGATCAATTTGATTATTTTGATTATCTAATTATATTTAAATTAGCCATTCGAGGCTAAATTATTGTGATATTTGTGAGTATAATTAAAATGTAAGTAACTGAAAATAAATAAACATAAATCATCATATTTTAATAATAAATTTATTTGTTTTATTTTATACCACCATTATAAAATCGCTAACTTTGTGTTACAAATAAATAATGTATTTTTTTTTCACTTTATAGGGTAGTTAAATTTTCAAACAGAACCTCTGTAACTGTGCTGAAATTTCATTGTGATAAATCTTTGAAAGTAGAAACCTGTAATTATAGGTCGGCGAGATATTAATTTTAGAAAAAAATGTGCTTACAACATTTTTTCGACTTTTTAAGGACTTTTTTTTTATTCTATAAAAGGTTCGGTTTCGGTTTCGGCCGAAATTACAATGAAACCGAACCTTCGGTTTCGGTTTCGGCAAAATAACATGTTTCGGTCGGTCACTAATGGAAACGTTTTGCATCCGGATCTGCTATCCACTAAGACGTAATTTTAGATGCAAATTGAGGAGGCAATAAAACTGCGTTTCAAACATCTTCATTTCTCACTATAGAAAGGCGATTAATTCGATAGGCTTCGACAAGAGGACGCCGAGTCTTGAGAAATGTTATTCGAGAATTAGAGAAGCATCTACAGATATATTTTTTTTTTCGAAGTTAAATGAAATCAATTTGTGTTTGCATGGTTCAAACGGATCAGACATTTTTGCAGTTCACGATAACGGGTTCCACCCAAGGATCTGGATGAGAGGGCGACCACCGTCGACATCATCGCTGGCCCCGGAGATAGCTCGATTAAGAGAGGACTGTGTTGCAGCCAGGCGACGATATTCTCGGCACCGCCGAAGACGGCACAGGGATGAGTCGACGGACGCTCCACTATACGAGGAGTACCAACGAGCGAAGAAGGAGCTCCGGAATGCGATAGGGGCAGCTAAAAACGGGCGGAACTTCTCTCCACCCTGAATCAAGATACATGGGGGAGACCCTATAAGCTGGTCATGACCAAGCTCCGCATACGGGCTCCCTCACTCACCACCAGGATCGGTCCTACCCTTCTTCGCACAGTGTTCACAGCCCTCTTCCCTGAAGTCCGGTCTGATTTTACGCCGCCCCAGTCAGATATATCGTGGCACAGGCAGACGCAGGGGATGCGCCCGATGTCACGGAAGAAGAGCTAGGGGCGGCTATCCTACGCTTACAAGCTAAGAACACTGCTCCTGGCCCCGATGGAATTCCGGGGAAAGCGTGGGTGCTTGCCCTTAGCCTTCTCGCTCGGGAAACGTGCAAATGTGCGCGTACTATCCGTTGGCTCGGGGCGCGCGCATATGTGCGCGAGAATGCTACCAATTTAAAAATGCATTTTTAGTTCTCTATTCCTTTCTTATTTATACGAAGTGATTACGAGAAAAAAAGGAGACAAAAACTAGACCTCAATTTGACATCATAAACTTTCATTCGTTCAAAAACAAAAATTGAGAAATGAAGTGCTGACAGTTCAAGTCTTTCCCGCGAGTTCAGTGACGTTTGTGCTTACGGTTTTTATTGTTGTTTTTGTGGTTTTGTGGAATAAAAGGTAAGTTCAGTGTTTTTATTTATTCCTTGTGATCTTATAAACATGTAGATATATTATTCCTTTAGGTTCAGAATGTCCGATTCCCAAAATGTCCAACGGTTTCAAAATAGTGTTGCCGAACTATCGATAGTAAAACTATCGATAGTTTTCATTCGAAAAAGCCTTCTCCATCGATAGGCCTATCGATACTGTCGATACTATCGATAGCTCAAAACGAGGCAATACTATTGAATATGTGCAATGCTATCGATACTATCGATAGTATTGTTGCTCGTGAAGAATAAACTATCGATAGATAAATTGTTTTGGATAGCATTTTGAATGCTGATCAACATTTGTTATTATGTTTCGATATTTGTTATTATGATTGTTCTAGACTATCGATAGTCTGTAAATTTGCAATAGTATTGGGTATGTTTAAATTCATTTTTACAATATTTAAAATGTTTCTCTTGAATTACCAACTAAACAAATAACTAACAATAATAATCTCACTTGTATTTAAAACTACCTGCATTAGTTAAGTACGGCAAATAAAATGTATTGCCAATTTTGGAAACATATAATTAAATGTTATGTTTAACTATATGAAATAATTCAAGTATTCCAATAACCCTATTGTTGTGGCTATTGACTATTATACCCAAATATTGTAAACGATACTATTGTAAATTGCCAAACTATCGATAGTCTAGAACAATCGATAGTATCGATAGTATTAATAGTTTTTTATTCAAAAGCGACAATACTATCGATAGTATCGATACTATCGATAGTTTATTCTTTACGAGCAACAACACTATCGATAGTATTGCACATATTCAATAGTATTGCCTCGTTTTGAGCTATCGATAGTATCAATAGTATCGACAGTATCGATACTATCGATAGGCCAATCGAGTCTTGCGATAGTTTGACTATCGATAGATTATTGATAGTCGACTATCGATAGGCAACACTATTTCAAAATGTCCAATTCCCAAAATGTCCAATTCCCAAAATGTCAAATTCCCGAAATGTCCAATTCCTGAAATGTCCAGTTCCCGAAACGTCCAATTCCCAAAATGTCCAATCTACTATTATGATGGGTTTGTTAAAGTCCTCATAGCCTTTCTTAAAAATTAGTAATTAATATATTTCTGTACGAATGCGTTTAGTTTTTGCAAAATCGGCATAAACATAGAAAATTTGTATTATTTGCAAAAAGTACGTAGAAAAAAATTGTAGCTACTGCACTTTGTACTCGTACAAGTATGTATAGTTATTTATATTTTTTCTTTTGACCTAAAAAGGAAATAATAATTTGTAAATAAATGATTATTTAAATTTAAGTATGGTTATTTATTAAATATTTTTAAGAAAGCCTATGAGGACTTATTTAACAAACCCATTATAATAGTAGATTGGACATTTTGGGAATTGGACGTTTCGGGAACTGGACATTTCAGGAATTGGACATTTCGGGAATTGGACATTTTGAGAATTGGACATTTTGAGAATTGGACATTCCGGGAATTGGACGTTTTGAAACCGTTGGACATTTTGGGAATTGGACATTCTGAACCTGAAGGATATTATTATGTATAATTTTATTATTATGCATAAGATGTGATGTAAAGTGTAAACAACACCTTCAAAACTGTGAACTGGCGAAATAAATTTGTTTGTCAATAGTTGCGAATAAGAATATTACCCAAGAAATCTATAAAATAAGCTCGATATGCTAGATTATTGTTGGAAATTAAATGTTCTTTGTAGATTATATTCATTTTTCAACAAAAACATCACAGATTCAGTAAAAAACATAGAAATCCGAATAGTCATTTGAATCGTCCGCCATTTTTTGTGTGCATGTAGTAGGGAAGTTACGATAGTGCGATAAGTGCGTGTCGATAAAATATCGATAAATTATTAAAATAACAGTTGTTTCGTTTATTTATTTACTTGTTTTTATAATGTATGAAAAGAAGTAAAATATTAAAAAATATTTATATATTATCGTGGGTTTGCCTCTGAATATTTTGTGATTATATCGGGTGATTTTCAATATTGATGATCAATTATATTACATGTTGTGTTTTACATGTTATATCTTTTTGCTTTTGTGTGAATAGAATGGAAAGATCGTGGAAACCTGGCAACCCTTTGCCTCGAGAATTTGAAGAAGTTCTCTTCGACGAAGATGAAGAGGACGCCGACGACGATGTCGACGTTCTCGAAGAGGACGTTGATAATGATGAAATAGATTTCTTTGTAAGTGATTTGTAGGTACTTCTTAATCGACTTCAAAAAAAGGAAGCGGTTTTAAATTCAGACATTATTTTATTTAATGTAATAGTTGAATGGATATCGGCGCGACGTCGCATCGAAGATCGCAATAAGTCCACTGTGAGTTATAGTTTTCATTTTACTATTTTGCGAACAATTTTCACATATTTTAACTTATGTTATATATTTTATTACAGAACAGTGGGTAACCGCTCTCCTGTGGTAGACCGCTCTCCTGCTTCAGGTCAATCCTCTGCACCAATTCAATCCCCCGCACCAGAGCGGTTCCGAATAGAGGTGCTACCGTCACCTCCGTCCGAAAGAGGAGCAGTGTCAGCACGGGGGCGAGGGCGTGGCCGAGGCCGAGGCCGTGGACGAGGCCGAGGTGAACGAGGATGGATGAGAGGTGAACTGCTACAGCAACAATATGTTGCCGATGCAGAGCTGCCTGAACAACTGAGGCAAGATATAAGTCGCATTTTGGCTGCTATAGTGAATGTACGAAGGAGATTGAACGTGGACGATGATATGAGAGTGGATGAAGGTTTGATAATGAATGATTATGATATCAATGAAGCATTTGTATGGAGACCTATGAGTGACTGGAATGGAGTGAAAGAGAGATTTTTGCAAGAATCAACAGGGCCGACTCGACACTTTGATAATGCGTATCAGGCATTACATTCGTTTTGGACGAATGATATATTAATGTCTCATATTGCCGTCGAGTCCAATCGTTATGCCCAGTCTCTTTCGGCCTCTCGACCAAGATTTGCGAGGGATTAGTACAAAACTAACGCTGACGAAATATGGGTTTTGTCGCATTTTGGATCATGCAGCATTTTAGAGCATAAAATCGTGTTTTACGAAAATTCAAATATTGCGAACAGACATATTTCGTCGGTTATTCAGTGAAAATCGATACTGGGACGTGAATGTGGCGTTTCATCTGGTCGAGGGGACCGATCATTAACAATCCTCTACATCCGATGGGCCCAATCCTTGATCATTTAAATACAAAATTCAAGGAAATGTACCGACTGTCCCAAGAAATTTGTATCGATGAATCCCTAACGCTGTGGAAAGGTTCCGTCGGCTTTAAGCAGTACATTAGAACAAAAGCCGCGCGGTTTGGTATTAAGGGGGTCCTGCACAGAATCCTTAAAATTGTCATATTTTTAAATCACGAGTGCTCTGCGATTAGTGACTTAAATACATCAAAGGAACTTGTGTAGGGTAGCCCAATCCTTGATCTAGGTCGCCGCCTTTTCAAAATTTTGAATAAATACGTAAAAAATTGATAAACAACATTTAAAATGCAGATATATGGAAAATTTATTTATTCGAGAACTTTGTTAATTTAACGTATGAAGCAATAATTTTTATATGGAAATGTTTAAATTAATAATTTGAAGGTCGCCCCCTTTTTCGTTTTTGGTATTAATGCATTAATATTGAGAATTTTTGATTTTCCCAAAAAAACTTTGCCGTGAAGAAATCATCAGGCGTTTTGCTTTATCGTAGCTGTCAAGTGTCAAATGTGTGTTTGTCAATCCTTTACAGAGTAGTGTAGAGCGCAGAGCATGCAAATAGTATCTCTTTTGTTATGACTTCGATTGTTACGAAAAAATATTTTACTTTGAACGAGGTTCTTTGGTGATAAAGTAATAAGTTAAAATTTTATTTATATTTTTCTTGCAATAAATGGCAATGCCAGATTTTGTATGGAAAGTGGCGTCTTTTTTTTTCGCGCGGCCATCGACCAAACTTTGTTTTTTGATTACAAAATAGTGTAATAAACCAAACTTACTATGGCATGTATACCTCTAAACTCAGTCTGAGCTGAATTACGAGCATTAGAAGTTTGATGATTTTCATACTAGATTTGCTTTTTGTGCGCAAGGTTTGTAAGAAATTGCAACAAAGTATTGCGCTATTTTTTTATTGCGCTGATTCTGCTCCATACTGATGTCTGGAGCCTTTAATGGATGGTATTGTTTGTTTACACATACAATCTCACTATTTTGTTGCAATTTCTTACAAAACTTTGCGCGCTTAACTTAGTTTGATACTTATTCAGTAAAATATGGAATTACATTTAAGAGTATTTTTATTTCTTATTACTTAAATATATTTTATCGAATCAACATAAAACTAGATTTTTAACACTCTTGCGGGTATGTGGTTTTTCAAAATAAACTGATTAGGTAGGATTTAATAAATAAATTGATAACATTTTTATTTAGAGTAGTAGGTACGCGGTATTTGCGTAACTGCTCATACAGTTTGGAAGAGTTTAGTAAAAAAAAGTTATTTCCAAACTATATTCGATTAGTTTCACACCCTTGCGTTCTGGCCATGTATAGAATGGAAAGACGCTACGTTAACAGCCTATTTGAATTGAACCTCTAGGAAAAATACTCTTTTACGAAACTTTTTTAACGCCTTTGTTCATCAGAAGAATGAATATTAGTTAGGATTTTTATTGTGTAAGAATTTTCGCAGCAATACCAACAAAAAATCAAATCCTTCCTTTTTCCTAATTAAAGTATTATAAACTCACCTTTTGTTTAGCAAAATTAGTGAAATACGTGTTTTTACTCTGTATTGAGTCTCTTTTGTCTCTACTCTGTAAAGTAGTTCGTGTGCGATCGTGTTAGTTCGTTGCGCCACCGCTATCTCGGCTAGCAAATCGTAATTTTTCGTCGGCGCTGCACCCCCTTAAAACATACCAATTATGTGAGTCCGCAAGGTACCTTTGGTCGTTCTTTGTGTACAGTCACGGAATGAAAAGGTTCGTCAGTTTTCAAATTAATTCCTTCAACGAATCGCGAGCACATTTACCTTTTGAAACTATGTTACAGAATAATCTCGAGTTAGAGAAAATAATCTTTAACTGTTCGTCAGTAAAGTNTGTACATTGATCGCGGCTCAGAACCGGCTTCAATCCCATCAAGCGTACAGACGGTCATAAAACTGGTGCGACCCCTTCTCCATTTGGGGCACACTCTGTACATGGACAATTGGTTCAACTCCCCTATGCTTGCGCGATGGCTGAAAAGGCAAAAAACCGACTGCGTGGGGACACTCCGTGCGTCTAGAAAGCACGTACCTCTAGAGGTGCAGAGTTGTCCTCTCGCAGAAGGTCAATTTATTACCCGAGCATCTGAGAATGTCATGGTAGTGGCAGTTCAGGACCGGAAGAGGGTGACTTTTCTGTCCACATATCATGACGTCTCTCAAGTACGCAAGGAACCTCNTCATCCTTACCAATCAAAATACCATCATCTACGTAAATTGCTAAGTATATATTTTTATTTTTATTATGAAACACACATGGATCTAATTTCATTTGTATCAATCCCAATTTCTTCAAAAATTCCGTCAACNTAAAGCCTACTAGGTCATACAATTTGAAAAAATCACAAAATTAACGATAACTTCTAAACTATGAAAAATCGTAAAACATACATGGGGGTGAAATCGATAGGTCTAGTCCACACCTATCACCTGCCTTCGGCTTGACACCTTACAAGAAACACCCTGTATATAAGATGATTTCCAATATACTTTGTGATTTGGACGACACAGTCAAAATAACACAATTGAGTTTCTCTGTAAGAAAGAAACGACATTTAATGTTATCAATTACAATGTCGGTTCCAAAACCACAATTAGAATATCCAATGGTATTTCAATTCTATAAAATTAAATATTGTTTTTTCAGAGGTACGAGACGCTTTTAGGTTATGGCAGTAGGGTAAAATTGGGGTATCTGGATCAAAAGCATTCAACACATCTAGTTTTCACTTTTCATTGATTCATGTATTCAACTATTCAGTTTTCATTTCTCATCGTACGAGGCTACGTACGATGAGTAATGAAAACTGAATAGTTGAATGAATCAATGAAAGAGTGAAAACAATGTGTGGAATGCTTTCGATCCAGCTACCCCAATTTTACCATTTTTTTTTAGTCTTTAAAGTTAAAAAAAATAACATCAGTTCCATTATGATTTAGTATCAATATACGGTTTTTCTTTCCATGTTTTCAATCTATCTATCAGTGAAATAAGTTAATAAGACATTATTATAATATTTCTTTAATGTTGATAGAAACGATAATTGAGTAGGTACCTACCTACTCACAACAGCATAATCGTTTCCAATTGATTTCATTTTACACGTCGAATCCCTAAATGGGAAGTCATTGTAATATAAGAACGTTGGCTCGGATTCTGCTATTAGGTACAGTCATTTCAATTATTATGGTTCTGTCATACACTAAATTTAATATTAAATATTTATATTCACTTAATTTAAATATTTGTTTTCTTTGAAAATAATTAACTTATAATCTTATATCTATATAACTTATGTCTTGCATGTGATGTAGGCTGAAAACTTGGATTAAAACATATTTTCATATTCAATGAAACATACTTTTAAAACAATAAGTATTTACGCTAAACCTCTATTATTATGTAATTTTAAACATTTACCTATACTCGTATTAATGGATATAAGGTATTAGGATGAAAAGAAAATAACACAAAAATATTATTTTAATTATTTATTTAAAAAAACCTATGATTTTTTACATTATAACATTGAGTACATATTACAAAACAATTTTAGTTTTAATTTTATCGAGTAAGTCTTTAGCACATTCATAAACTTCATCGGAATATGTATAGTCAACTACATGTTGTGCACAAATACTAGCTTCACATTTACACTTAAAATTTTCAGCATTTTTTAATTCATCCATATCGAATATTTGAAGTCTTATCAACTTAGGTTTCGGTCCTTCACTTGGTTTTCTTACGTATGAATATAAAATATCGCTCGCTTTTCTTTTTCTCGTACTATCATTATTTCGAGTAGAGACGGTCTCATTGTGTCGATCATTTATTTCAAGCGGTCGTTCATGATCGAAGTAGTTCCTAACATTCTGTCGAAGCAGTTGATCTGCAGGGATTGGTGAGTAGTCGAAAACAGGTGATGTCTGTAATGAAAGTATTTATATTTTAAAACAAGTCAATATATTAGAGCTTGTCAAATATATTTAAACATACATAAAAAACATTATCGTAATAGTTAAGTAGGAATTCGCTTACCATCATTGCGGGAATTTCTTTAAAGATGTGCACAAGACGACAGGCAATATTCTATTAGTTTTATATGTTTCAATCATCTTTTTATAAACATTTGTTTTTTTTTTTTTGTTTATTGTGTTCAAATAAAAGTACCTTCAATGAAGTCATTTCCTATAGCTTAATATCCGCAAACGATTTTAAATCTAAGTAAATTAGTAATTTTAAATTATATGAAACTAGCTTTTACCTACGGCTTCACTCGCATAAAATTTTGTTTGTCACAGATCGTTTATAGCCTATTTGTTATTCTAGGTTATAAACAATAATACTGTAAAGTTTCATCAAAATCTGTTCAGTAGTTTTTGCGTGACAGAATACGGACGCTGGAAAGAATATGGACAACGAAACCTTAAGTTCCATGCTCACTCTACCTATACATTATACCGCTTCGAAATTATGGATCTAGTAAAAAAAAAGGAAAAATAACTGATACGTCAGCCTCAACAGGTGCTTCGGTCGAGCAAAAATTGGAGGGGCGCGTCTTCGTGGATCGTACTATCTTATACTACTAGTTCTAAACAGCTATGCATAAATCGGATATTTTTTATTTTACAAGAATCTGTCGGTTTGGTATAGTGAAACCAGGCCTTTACAAACTATTAGATGTTAATATGCGCGAATGGGATGAAATCCTATACACTTTGTATAGCGTTGTTTCACTCTAATAGTAGCTTAAGCATTATTGGGAGCTAAGTTACAAAAAAGGGATTGTTGACACTGCATTTCTGCAGTTATGAATTATGTTTAGTCACATTGTATTTTTACAAATATGGAAAGTATCCCATGTGATCCTACATGTATTTAAGCTGAGATTTGGTAGGAAATGTCACAGTCCAGTTCAGGGAGTGCAGTTCATCTTCAGGAAATCGTTATTATCAAACATTGATATTAGCAGAATGTAAGTACCTAGATTTTAAGTATCTATTCAATTCTATTATTAACGTTGTTGTTGTCATTCAATCTTCTAATCATTCATTTATCGACTATTCAACTATTCAAGTACTGTTCAATTCATTCTGTTTTTTTATTGTACTGGTTTTATGTAAGTAATATTATAAATCGATGGAGACGTACCTAGTGCATCAATTCAGTTATTCACTACCTGCTAAATATTACATCTTACAGTGTTTAATATTAATATTATATTAAAATACAACTATTTGTTATTTCAGGTCTACTCATGGTACCGATCATTCTGAAGATGAGGTCGCCCAACCCTCAACTTCACATCATATCAACAAGACCCACACACCTCTCGCTTCAGGCTCGAAAGCAGCGAAAAAGCGTAAACATGCAGCTATTGCTCCAGCTCCCACTCGCAAATATTCAAAGTATGAACTATTTGGAACAGATAGTGAAGATGAAAGCGATGAAGATAAATCTACATATGAAGGTAAAAAAATATATAATAATATGTTTTGTTACTTTATACAGAAATATCCGAAAGTGTATAGTCAACAGATAAATAAATCAAAAATTGGAGAATATTATATTACTCTCAAAATAACTTTTGATGTAGATAAAAGAGGAAGCCAAGAGCAATTAAAACTTGTAAGACTAGCAGACTTTATAATAAAAAATATGACTAATTGTGATACAGATGCATGGATGCATCTTATGAAATTTGTCCAAGCATCCAAACGACAAATTAAACAGTGTGTGCTATTTTTTGAATACAATCCAATATTTTATTATTCCTTTCAAGATACAGTACCAGCATTGAAAAAGTTACGCCCGACCAGCAGCAATAAAGGCGAAATGAAGAAAATGAAGGCTGAAAAGAGAGAGAAGAGTAAGAGCAGCAGTAAGCGGACATCCAGAGTCGCTCAAGAACCTATCGTTAAAGCCTCTGCAAAGGATGTTTTCGGGAGTGATAGTGACGACGAACAGTTTGAACAAACTGTACGCAAAACGGGTAAAATGCCAGCTAAAATTACATCTTATTTTACTAAAAGAATACCGCAAGGGGTTTCGCGACAAAGCGACCCAAACAAAGATGGTTCGCACTTTATCGAATTAAAAGTTTATCGATGTGATGAAATTCGAAATGTGCAACCAATGAATAGATGGCGCCATGCCATTATATCAATAAAAAATCAATCTGATTCGGATACAGAAGCATGGACGCATCTTACTCAGTTCATTAAAGCTACGAGACATGAATTTAAAAATTGTCGTCCAGACATTATTAGTGGTTATTCCACATACTAACTTGTTAAAGTTACTTTATATCTAAGATTTTTTAAACATGTTTAATCACTTGTAATAATTCTATAAACACTTCTTTTCATAAAACTAAATAATAAAATAAATGTACTTAACCAAGCAATGTTTATTATATTGAAAACTTAATCTAATAATAATAATATAAAAATATTGGTATGTAATATTATATTGTTTTTTATTTCTTTCTCAGCTTTATCGCGTTCTACCTCGCTCTCCCACCAAAGCAATGAAGTGGATACAAACATTGAATGTGAAAAATGTCGAATAAAAATGTCTAGAAATGAATACAGATATCATTTGAAAACAAATTTACATAAATCTAGAAGTTTAATAAAGACTGAATTTGATAACATCGATATAGTCGCTACTGCATTTAAAAATCGCATAGTGACTTATCGTTTAAGCCCCTCTCAGAAAGATGAGTACCTCACACCTGAGGCGTTTATGAGAGGCAATGCAAATAATATTATTAAGTTAATAAATATATCGCAGATGAAGCATGGATGCATTAAATTAAACTTTGAATTATTTGCTTATTTTATCTTACCAAAATCAAACGAGCAGCAACTGAAATCCTTTAATACAAAGTTTGAAACAGTTTATCAGTCTACTGAATTAGATGAACTATTCACAAATTTAGTTGAAAAGTTTCAAACCAAATTAGCTGAATTCGAGCATTGTGAATCTGGTTGGAGTTTTGCAGGCATAAGTCATTTAGAAATAAATATAAATAAATACAGTCCTATGAGAGGTGGCACATTTATTGATCTACCAAAATCGATAAAAGTGACAAAAAGTTGTATTAATGTACAGAACAACGATGATCATTGTTTTCTATGGAGTATAATTGCTGGACTTTTTCCTGCGAAGAATAATGTGTGCAGAGTAAACTCATATCCACATTATTCTTCTATTCTTAATATCAATGAAATGAATTTCCCACCTACTTTTGTAGATATTAGATTATTTGAAAGTAATAATCCTGATATAAGCATTAATATTTATGGTTTAGATAACAGATGTCATATTACTGGGCCTCTATACCTGACAAAAAACAGAAAAATTGATCACTTCAATTTATTATATATCGAGCATTATAATAAAGGACATTACTGTTTAATCAAAGATCTTGCTCGATTAGTGAAACATCAGATTACATCACATAAAGACAACTTTTATTTATGTGAATCATGTTTACAGTTCTTTGGGAGTAAATCAAAGTTTCGATTGCATAAGTGCAATAAAGTTTTAACTATTTTACCTAAAAAAGGTTCTATTTTAAAATTTACGCATTATGAAAGACAACAAAAAATCAACTTTGTGATTTATGCAGACTTTGAATGTCTATTATTAGATTACAAAGAACAAAAATCTGAATACATTGAAACATTGCAAAAACATCAAACATCTAGTTTTGGTTATTATATTTGTTGTTCACATGATCAAAATTTAAACAAATATGTTTCATATAGGGGTATTGATTGTGTTGAAGTATTTATTAAATCACTAATTAAAGATGCTGAAATTATTAACAATATATTATCAGATAAAAAACCAATGTTACCTCTAACTTATGATCAAGAATATAAATATAAAAAAACTACTGTTTGTCACATCTGTAATGAAGTACTTCTCGATGATAAAGTACGAGATCATGATCATGTAACTGGTGAGTTTAGAGGAGCAGCTCATTCGCATTGTAATTTGATGTACAGAGTATGTCCATTCATACCAGTAGTATTTCATAACCTGGTTGGGTATGATTTACACTTGTTTATTGAAGAATTAATGAAATATAAAGGCAGTGTGAAAATAATTCCTAAATCAAAAGAAAAGTATCTATCTGTTACAAAAATTGTTGACATATCAGAAAATGAACGACCTATTGAGCTCAAGTTTATCGATTCTTACCAATTTTTGAGTTCAAGCCTTGATAAGTTGAGTAGCAGTTTAAGTACGAGTGATTTCAAACATTTATCATGCGAGTTTAATAATCAGGAACAATACAAATTACTCCAAAGAAAAGGTGTCTATCCATCTATACTANAACCATTTAAAAATCCTATGAGAACTTTTTCGACTTCTACACGGACGAAGTCGCGGGCAAAAGCTATTTGTAAAATCATCATCATCATCATTTCAGCCATAGGACGTCCACTGCTGAACATAGGCCTTTGTAAAATAATTAGACTAAATTATTAAAAGTGCCTACCCAAAGTCATTAGTCCACGCGGACGAAGTCGCGGGCACAGCTAGTATGACTATATAGACAAGTGGTCAAAATTTGAGGAAACCAAACTTCCTTCAAAGTCCAGTTTTTTTAATTCTTTGAATGAAACTCATATATCCGATTCTGATTATAAACATGCTTGCACAGTATGGAAATGCTTTGGTATCAAAAACCTTGGTGAATATACTGATTTATATGTAAAGTCAGATGTTTTACTACTATGTGATATATTTGAAAAATTTAGTAAAGTTAGTCTATTACATTATAAACTCGACCCTGCATATTATATAACATCACCTAGTTTGAGTTGGGATGCAATGCTCTTTTACACTAATGTTCGATTAGAGCTGATTCATGATATTGAAATGTACCAAATGCTTGAAAAGGGTATACGTGGAGGCCTTGCACAGTGTTCTCTACGATATGCTAAAGCATGTAATAAATACTTATCAAACTATGATAAATCTCAGCAGTCATCTTTTTTGATTTATTTAGACTGCAATAATTTGTATGGATATGCGATGACAAAAAAATATCCTATCTCTGAATTCAAATTTTTATCAGTTCAAGAAATCAGTAACTTTAATGTGATGAATATTTCTGATGACAGTGACTTTGGTTATATTTTAGAAGTTGACTTATTATATCCAGATCATTTACATGAAAACAATCAAGACCTTCCTTTTGCCATGGAAAAAATGAAACCTCCTGGAGGAAAAAGTGAAAAATTAATCGCAAACCTTTATGATAAATTCAATTATGTTATTCATTATGTATACCTGAAACAATGCTTAAAATATGGACTAGTGTTAATGAAGATACATCGCATACTCTGTTTTAAACAAGAAAACTTTTTAAAACCTTATATTGATCTTAACACCTCTCTCCGACAATCATCAAACACGGCATTTGAAAAAGATTTCTTTAAATTGCTTAATAATTCTATTTTTGGAAAAACAATTGAAAATAAACGAAAACAAGTTGAAGTTAAGTTGGTAACTAGATGGATTGATACTGAGAATAAAACTAATAAGCATCTTACAGCAGAAAAGTTACTCACAAAACCAAATCTGAACAGTATAAGTATTTTTTCAGAGAACTTTGTGGCTATCCAGCTCAATCGTGAAAAATGTGTAATGGACAAACCAATCTACATTGGATTTACAGTTCTAGAGTTTGCTAAGCAACATATGTATCAATTTCATTATGATTTCATTAAAGAAAAATATAAAGATCAGGCTCAACTTTGTTACACAGATACTGATAGTTTATTATATTTAATATTTACCGATGATTTTTATAAAGATATGTATGACAATATTTCACAATTTGATACAAGTAATTTTGCTTTAAAAAATATGTATAACATACCAAAGATAAATGAAAAAGTACCAGGATTATTCAAAGATGAAATGGGTGGCAATATTATTTACGAGTTTGTTGGTCTTAGAGCTAAATTATATAGTATTCAAAGTGACAAATCAAATATTAAAAAAGCAAAAGGTATAACGAAAGTAGTTACTAATAACTTGAAATTTGAGGATTATAAAGAAACGCTTTTTAATAACACGCATACTAGATGTAGCATGAAATTGATAAGATCCATTAAGCATGAGTTATACACACAGCAGGTGAATAAGAAGCTTCTAGATGGAAAAGATGATAAAAGACAAATTAAGCGAGATAAAATTCATACCTTACCATGGGGTCATTGTGATACAATATTCTGATTTACTTACCGATATCTGTATTCATTATACATAATACCATAATAATTATAGAACTTGTATAATAAAATAGAGCGATAAATGTTCGTTAAATGAATTGTATTAGTTATGTTATAAATTATGTAAATATATTTGTGAAAATATTATTGTACTAGTCTTTTATAAATGTACTTATTTACAAAATTGATTGTATCTTATCTCATTGTAATATGAATAATAATAATAATAAAATATTTATTAAGAAAATAAAATGGTTTTATTTTATCAAGGCTGGGCCCAAGCAACTAGGTATATAAAGCTGGGTAAGGTTTAATTTGTAACACTTTCATAATGAAATTCATTAAACAACCTGACACATTAGAAGTACATAATATAAAAACAGAAAATGTTGCACAAAGATCAAAGCATAGTACTCTGCTCCCTGATACTATTAGATGTATAATGTGTGGTCCATCGAATTGTGGCAAAACAAATGTAATGCTTAATTTATTACTTCATGAAAATGGTCTTAAATTCAAAAATATTTACCTGTATTCTAAAACAGCTTTCCAACCTAAATATTGTTTCTTAGATCAGGTTATGAAGCGAGTTCCTGACGCAAAGTTTTTTATTTTCAATAATAACGAAGACGTAATACCACCAAGTGATGCCTTGCGAAATACAATAATGATATTTGATGATGTAATATGTGAAAATCAGAATAATATTCGTAATTATTTTACTATGGGAAGACATAAACAAATAGATTGTTTTTACTTATCACAGACATATTCAAAGGTTCCTAAACAATTAATTCGAGACAATGCTAATCTTCTGATAATATTTAAGCAAGATGATACAAATTTAAAACATATTCATAAGGAACATGTAACAACAGATATTGAGTGGATTAAATTAAAAAAACTTTGTTCTACAATATGGAAAGATAAATTTAATTTTTTGTTGATAAATAAAGATTGTGATATGAATAAAGGAAGGTACAGAAAAGGTTTTGATACTTTTATCCATATATAGAACATGTGAAATATCCTATGAAAAATCATAGGATATCTATATAAGCAATAATTTTGATGAAAAATGACATTACGATTCTAATAATT